GGTTTTAAGAGAAGGGGGAACTCGCCCAGGCCATCTCTGGCAAGCTAGCAGCAAGCCATCGCTGCCGAGAGATAAGGTGCCATGAATGTCTCTAACCTTCCTAATCCTAGGCAGGGATGAAGAGAGTCAGAGCATGATGCTGGCGAGAGGAAAAAATTCTTAGCTGCTTGACACCTTTGATCTGGACAGTACAGTAGAATGGCAGCATGGACATACCAGTAGAGCTTGGGTGGATTACATCCGCATATCTCCCACCGCCACCAGTCAGAGCTAAAACTCCTCTGTCAACAATCCTCAGATCAGTCACAGAGACAGATGAGCCAAAGGTGGAGGGTGAGTAGTAAACAGGAACATATTTGTGAATAGAAGTGGGTTTCTGTTTTGATAGGGTTATAAATGCATGTGTGCGATGGAATCTGTCAGGTTAGAAGTAGACTTAATGTTCATGTCCTTGCTTTCGCATTGTGCCACTGAGCCGTCCGCTAAGATTGATCTTAGCAGATGCCTCCTAAACTGTACGGCTCATTACAAGGCTGTTCAAAAGTGCTCTTTCAGTGCCAGCTAAGATGCGATCTCTACAAGGCTAAATTGTCCACAATGCATCTTAAAATGGGATTTTTATGTATGTGCTTTGCTTGAGCAAATACCCCTGCTTCTGTGTGAGCACGGATATGCGTGTCTATGTGTAAGAAAGATGTGTGAGGGAGAGAAAGGACTACAAGAGACACAAGAATGTATCAGAGGGAAGACAGGAGAGAAAGGGATACAAAAACAGAAATGACCTCTCTAAGTCTAGGTAGTTGGACTCTTGGCACTGATCTTGTGAGACATTGAGAGGTGTCTCCTCCTTGGAAGGAATAATCCATTTAAACCCGGGTCGCACGGCTGTGATTGATGTACCAACAGGAGCAGCACTTAATAACCTCTATCATGCTGGGTGACCTCGTGGCCCACGGTGGGCACCAGTTTGTTTATGGGTGGTACCTCCGACACACTATCCGTGCAGAAATTCTGTTGTGGCTAATGGGCCGGACTGAGGGATTGGACTGTCAGCGCAGTGTGAGCCCTCATTTTTCTTTCCAAGCATCTAAGGTACCCCCTGCGCACCCCTGCTACACCCAACCTCCCTGTTCTGCCATCATCTGTCAATGGTGACTGAGTCTCCTGGAATATGGAGGCGTGAAAGAGAGTGTCAATTAGCATTAGCTTTCCTGACAAATCTGTTTTTCTCACCACAAAGGCCTTGGATAACTTGTTCCTGATTCCTCTCTGTCACAATGTTGGAGGCACAGGATTTGTTTTTCTACTACAATTCAAGTGTGAAAATGGGTCAAGCACATGTGCATGAGTTTAGTGCCTGGGTGCATGACCGTGTACACATATATAAAACTATGGCTATATCTATGTTTATTCTACAGAGACAGAGAGATAGAAAAAGACACACACAGCAAGACAGACAGAGAGAAAAGAGGACGATTGGGAAGATGGGCCTTTCACACTAAAAAGCTTTTGTTTACATTGCTGAAATGGAAGTTGACCTTAAAGGTTATCTTAAATGTACAGAAAATGTCAAAAAGCCTGACAAGAGAGCAGGGCCTCTTTTAGAACATGGCAGTTCTCAGGGGGCACAGGGAGGAGTCTTAAAGAATAACATCACAGCACTGTACTATACTCTAGTTCCTTTAAAAGTCCCTCCTCTATTTGCCCTCTGCTGTGTGAAGATCTTCAGTCTTAATCAGCTGCATTGTTCTATGGAGATATAGTTATGGGAAGCGCTAAGCTGTTTATTTATTGAATAGGCTGTTTAATTCCCCCCCTGCCCGGCATGCTTGGCTCTGCACAGCCTACCCCTTTGATGTGAGCGGCTGCTGGTGGAGTGCTATGATGGGCTCCTACTGGCAATGCAGCACTTGGAACCACAGTGACGAGCGATAAGCAGTGCCCTCGACAGCAGTGTACAGTACAGTGACCCTCTCCCTCCAGCATGCATTTTGGCCTGAGTTTGTGTCACTACAATAAAGCTGTTTTACTCCAAAATGCCACGTATCCATTTTGAATATAGACCTTTATGTATCAATTTACTGACATTCTTTATTTATTTTATTCAACCTGTAAAAGTGTCCTCACTGTCACAAACTCAAATGTACTTTTATGCTTTAAAAGCAATAATTTTGATTTTTGTACTGTCCATCATTTCAATTAATTTACTGAGGATTAGCTACAGTTGTTAAGTCACTAACGAGTAAGACACTAATGAGTCAGACACTAACAGGTTTACGGAGGATTTGCAGCAATTATTAAGGCACAAACGACTAACATAAAGCACATTCAGATTAATGCTGAATGTGCTGTAGGAATGTCCTATGCAAGACAGGAAAATAGAGAAGGAGAAGAGGGAATGATTTTACAGAAATCACTGCTGAACTTATCATCACTGGCTATAACATTTGCAGTAAAATAACCAGCAAGAGAAAGAAAAAGTGTGGGGGTTTGGGGAATGGAAAATAAATGACAACTTTAGCCTTTTTTTTATCATTAACACTTCAGTAATAACCACTTTGAGATGCGTGCATAGACAGGTGGCAGAAAACAGACATTATTGCAGAGAGAGGGTGAGAGGAAATGATGAGGACCTGTTGTGCAGTAAACTGCGAATCGCAGAAGTGATGGGTGGAAAATGTTCAATATCCCAAGAGGTATGAGCTCTATGCAGCAAGATATAATTATAAACACCTAGTGATTTATAAGCACCAAGGCTCTATTTACACATACTAACAAGTGTATGCTAGGCTGTATATCAGAAAGCTTGACCACTTGAACTATCTCGTACCCAAGCACATGCATTACAGTTTAACTGTGCAGACTGGGCATTTATGTATAGACCTGCAGCTGTATGGTTTTTAGTTTTGTTTTTTTTAAATCCAGTGGGTGTTTATCAGCTTCATCTCTAATCGCAATGAAATCAGAACAGATCAGCACTGTGGATTTTTATAATGTAGTAGAGGCTTTTTGTTAGAAACTGGTGACGAAAGTAAATAACTTGTTTAAGGGAAATTACTTGTCAGGCCCTATAATCATTATTTCAGTGTGCAACTTTGCGACAGCTGCCAGTTAGTCAGAATACAGGGTTGATAAAGGAGGAGGAGTGATGGCTTTGGATGGAAATTGCATGACTTTGTTATGACGCTATAGAGGAAAAACAGATGTAAAGTAGTGAGTAATTGGCATGTGTGCAAAGAGGTGTTTTGTGGTGTTTTACTGTGGCTGATAAATTACTGTACTTCTTAAATTCTGTATACACAGTTACAAATGAGTAAAACTTACACCTATATACACATGAATTTTCACACCAGACACCATGTGGCATATCTATTTTTACATACTGCCAGTATTAAGGTTTAAGTGCTTCTATGTTCTTAACTCAGTCACATTATAAGTGATATTAATCAATAACCACTTTTTTATCTGAAAGGGGAAGAGTACTGCATTTTTTGTTTATTGGTTTCTTTAACCAATATATTATGCTCGGCAATAGAACAGTTGTTTTGCACCCTAAGGAAGACACATCCTTCAGCGGGATATTGTCTGAATGCATGATATTTGAAAAACAAAATCTCATAAAAATCACTGATGGTTGACGCTTCACTTGCATTTTTCAGTTCAATTACAAATGTCTGTATGTACAGTTAAACAGCACAGCGTCAGGTCTTAATTAGCAGCAGTGCATTCAAGTAACTCAACTGTGGCTGTGCTCATTTACACCATCGGTGTTAGAAAGTACCTTGCTAAATTGAAAACATGCGGTGATGCAAAAAATTAGTAAAAAGTATTATATTTTTTTAAAAAAGGTTGTCAAATTTGTTTTGAACAAAACCTCAACACAATTACACAAATGTAGGATATCACAAAATATTATGTCTGATGGCATCTGAATACAATTAGGGCCTTGTTAATTGTTGGTTTTCTCTCCTGACATGTTTTCAGAGGTAGATCACACCATTATTTCTCAAGGAAAGCTTCCAGCTCTTTTAGTGACAGGGAGATGTACAGTAAACCCACTAAGGATTAATGTTGAGTTCTGGTGACTGGAGAGACCATGGACGGTTTGCGAGTTCACTTTGGTGTTTAAACAAATTTGTTTTACATTGGTCCCAGAAGCATTATCATCCTTGAGCATGTCTATGGGAACCTTTTCTCAATATCTCCCTTTCATTGGCTGTTATATGATCATAAAGAGTGATCACAGCACCAAACAAACCTCACAAGATGACTGCCCAAATAAGTACAGATTGCAGTTACTGGCTCATATTGGCCTTTAAACAATGGCAAAAGCACTAGCACAAAATAGGCATCTTGGTAATTTGAAATGATTCAAATTTACCAGAGTTGTGACTGCTTTTATAGAACCACATTGCTTCAGACTTGTTGTTAGTGACAGCAAATGTAAATTAGCATGTTAATTAATCCTTACATATATGGCACCCACTGGGATTATTAGAGCATTTGTGCCAATTCAATGGATGGCATACATAATATGTCAGAATAGTGAGAAAATTATTATTTCTTCTCAGCAGAGGGAATGTACTATGCAACAAAATATAAACTCCAGTAGTTTCTCTGCATCTTACATCTTTTGACATCATAACTTCAAAGCCTATTTACATCAAAAAGTTTGGCATGTTTCCAATGTGACTTTGTTTAAGTCTAATGAGCTCTTTGCCAGTGGTGCCTTGCTGCATATCAGGCCTGGTCCCATGAGGGAGCACAAGCATTGCACAGGGTCTACATCTTGCTCACCTTATGTGCCTTTGTGCAACATGGTGTAAGGTAAACTTGTTGGTATGTTTCGACATAGTGTATTATTCTTCAAAGACAAAGCTTTATATAGTTATATAGTATTCATATAGTATTTGAATAATGAGAGTGTTCATGTGGGCAGATGGAAATGTGTACGGATAAAATAAAAGTCAATTAAACAAAATAAGAGAGATTAAGCTTACCATAGATGCCTGTGGAGATACATGGGAAGGCCTGTATAGAAAAAGACAAGAGAAAGAGAAATAAAAGTCAAAACACGTTCACATAAATGGGGACAAAAGAACAGTTACTTTTATCAATCTCATTAAACACTAAATAAACTACAACTGAGATAAAATCTTTTCCACCCAAGATATTGAAATCCACTTAGCTTTTTTTATTCCTTTCATAGTAAAACACACTGTATGTACTTTTTATTTTCGATTTAACAAGGTATGATAAAAACTACAGCAGCAGAATTAAATAGTAAATATTGCATGATTACATCATCCGCATTAAACTGTAGCCATTGTAAGACCGCCTACTGTTTACCTTTGTGTTTGTTGTTTACCTCTACTGCTTCACTTGTTCATTCCCAAGAGGAGCAATTTACAGTAGCATTTGCCCAAATCCTTGCAATACTAATGCAGAACTGTAAACCACACTCCAGCTCCCATGCACAAACACACACTTATACGGTACACATTTCTTTTCCAAAAAACCAAATCAAATTCATTGTGGACTCCTATTCACATACACAGTACATATTAAATGGATTATCATGATCACCCTGCTGTGCTATAAAGGCAATATTCTATCATGTACTGTTGCACCAATGATCGTGACAGCCTATTAGTACTCAATGGCCATACTTAATGTCCATAACAGATGTAGTTTGCATATGTTGCTTGAGGGAACAGTGGATCAGACTCATGTGAATTCATAGGTACACACACAGCTTGCTGCTTAATAATCTTCAGCACATGAATATCCAAATGAGGTCGATTGATCCTGTCTGTCGCCTACAGCCAAAACTTACACACAGCCCCTCTTCCACAGATGTTTATGGCACTTACCCAGAAACTGAGGCTGCCTCACATATAAACTTTGAGCCTATTGATACATGTCTTTAATTTAATGCATTTAGAGAGCTGGATAGATTAGGCAGATTTAATTCTGTGTAAAGTTGAAACAAACATCACAGCAAGAGGCTTTTCAGTCCATTTGATTGAAATAATGAGAAAACTAAAAACAAAATCATAAAGTCATTGTTGTCACATTTTGATCAATAGGAGGAATCAATACTATCCCACCAACCACTTAAGTGTAGGGACAAAACAAAACAGACATGCAGAGAATCAGAATATGTATTATGAATATTTTCATAAGCTAAAGAGCAAAAACGTGCATATATTTATGGCTGTCTTTTCCAAAAAGATTATAAAAAGTAACCACCTTGTAATAGTTCTTGCTTTGTAGCACTTTGCAGCAGACATATTATTCAAGCATGGCTTTATAGCTGAAAATAGTTTCATTATTCTTTACTTCTGTGAGCAAATATATTATGATACATAGGCCTCGCTATAAGCTTTCCTATTTCACATTCATCTTTTTAAGTATATTAATAAACAGTAAAGAGAGATTTTTTCAAAGGTCCCATTTGTCCTCAAAAGCAGCTGAATACGTGCTTTAGTTCCTGCATTCATCAAAAGGCGTGGCCACAACATTAATATAATAAGATGACAAATGGAGAAAAAAAGGAAAACATTTCCACTAGCAGCTCACAACTGGATGAATTTAGAACAACAAAACTCTACAGAGATTCATCAAAGAAAAACACCCATATGTCAAATTCTCCCAGTGCCAAAACCCAACAGTTTGTTTTGCCACACTGACCCTGTCAAGTTGTATTTAGAAACATGCTGTTGCTCGCAGCCTTGCCAAGATCACTTCATTTTAGAACTAAAAACACAATTAATAGATCTGAAAGATAGCAAATACACGTCTCCTTGTATGATGATTATACAAACAAGTAGTCGTGTTCTAATCTTGTGCATCTTCTCAACTAAAAGAAGACATACACATAATTCACATATTGATATAATTGATTAAAAAGACTCTATGAAGCATCACAACCTGTGACTCCTGCTTTGAAATGCAATAGTCTATTTGTCCTTGCTTTAAGCCAGGAGGAATGAGCCTCTGTTTGTATTCTTATTTACCAGTTTTCAGGTTCCACCTGTCAAGGTGAATCTTTCTTCTGTGGGATGATTTAAATCTTTTACCGAATCGTTGACCTTTCCAGATGACTGTCTGGGTCTGACACAAACCACAGATGATGAAGCGTGGAAAAGCATGGCCATTTTTAGTCCTGTGCCAAACTCTGCTCACGGCACACACTGAGGCATATTGAGATTGAGAACACTCAAATGGTCAAAAATCCAACGGAGGGACAGAACCAGAGAGAAATAATAACTATGTGCAAATTTGGATGTCAAATTTAAACAAATCTGTATTTGAAATCCCCAAAGGATGTACAAACAACGGCACAACAAATTAAATGTGCTTCCTTATAGGTGTACTTATAATCTGTATACTCATTGGCAACATCTTGACATTTAGACCAGTGAAAATTTCAATACTTTTAGCCACTCTCTAAATGATGCCAGTTTTACATTTGGCACCAGTCAATATGAACAGGAATCGAGATTTACTTTAGGAGGAGGAATCTATTTGAAGCTGTGTAATAATAAGGAAGAAGTAAAATGAATTTTATCTTCAGACAAGATGAGCATTATTTCCTGTCAATGCTTCCAGCCAGTGTCTGCTGCCAAACTGATCCTGAGCCAGAAGCCTTGTTATCCTCTCTCAGCTGAAAGGCCGAGATGTCAGTCTCTTCAACTTGAACTTCTGCTCCGGCTGCAACTAAACCTTAACACAATCACAGGCTGTGGCAAAGACATACTATCAGCATAATCAATTAAAATCTTTTTATTAGTTCCCTGGGTGATCCATTAAAGCGTATAGATCCGTGTGGCGTGAAAATGCATTGGGTAATCACTTAACAGGACGCTGTAAAGATCTGACACCGTTGTGGCACGTGCAGACGTCACTTACTTGTTTAAAGGACTGTTATAGCAAAAAGTGAAGAGAAGTATATATCCAATAAAACTGTAAAGCCTAGAGAGCATTTTGGCAGGTGCATCTCCTTTTCATTCATAAATCTGCCACACAACCAGCAATAAATTAGATTAAGGTGTCCGCAGATTATAAATATTACTGATAATCAATATCTGTAAATGCCAACATGCTCAATATGGTTCATAAGCTTCAAGTTTTGTTAAAACCATTAAAAGCTTTAGCTGTTAAATAAAACTTTTAATGGAAATGTAAGAAAGGGAAGAACATCAGTACCTGTTTACTGCAGAAGTGCCTGCTTTAGTAATGCAATTATCTACATTCAAGTGGATGAGTGGTGATGGTCAGTCCTAAAGGAACTGTTCATTATCAAATAGCTTTAGACTGAAAACAAATGGTTCCCAGTGTCTTACAATTTGTAACAACAGCATGTAAGCCAAGAATACTACAGCTGAATGCAACAAACAGCGAGATTTCTGAAACAGCCACAGTGTGCAACACTACAAGCATAGCCTATTATTCTTATTCTTTCCCATCAACACTGGGCCACCGTAGAAGCTATTTTGATAGTTGTTAGCGTACAGGCCTGTACATCTGCTTACACTGTATAAGGTCCAGTGTTAATTAGGACAGTCAGTGGTATATAAGCAGTCATGACCTATGATTCCTGGTTTAGGTTATTATTTCTATCTCTAGATGCTCATTAGAAGTGAGTCAGCATGTTCCCCTGCACCCTGGCATGAGGCTGTGCCTGACATGTTGGCTTGTTGCTGATTTTCTTTGCTTAGGGAGTGTTCAGAAATTGGTCACCAGGGAAATTATTCTGTTGCTGGGGCTCCTCCCTAATCTATCACATCACTTTAAAGTGGAGCACCTTTCCTCTCAGCATCTCTGCACACTTATTCAGCTCACAGTATATTAAGAACAGCACAAAGTGGCTACAGTGATTATTGTTGGAAGAACTATACTTTTGTTACATTAATGTGAATTATCATTCACATGCCCTTACTACAATATTTACACAAGGCATTTAAGTTTTTTTAAACTGACACTTATTAAAACAATGATTCATTGACTTCAAAGTGTGACTAGAGTTTTGCAAAGACTACTCATAAAACTAAGTCACTGTTATTCCACTGAGAGCATGATTGCCTGCAGCTTTCAGTCATTTGTTAAGCAGCAGGAAATGACACAGTAAAGATGGCTCAACCTGTGGCAAAATGCGGCTACCCTGCTGTAGCTGTCACCTTCCCATGCTGCAGGCACTGCAGAGTTGCCATGAGCCGACAGGTAAAGGTAAGAATACCATGCACGGGCACTGTGACTGCAGGATCCTACCCGGGGAGCACCTCGTCTCGGCTGGCTGAGTAAATAGCATTGGACCCAGGGTGCTGCCCCCGTAGCTTGAAGCCTCCTAGCCTGTTTGCAGATGGAAGCTATGCTTATAAATCACAGCAGCAAGGGGAGACCTTGTGCAAATGCGACCACAAGTATGTTATTATTCACCACTGTTGCCACAGTGTGGGCTTACTTCAGAGTATCAGAACATGAATCCAAGAGAATCCTCTTTGTTGACTGCTGTAATTCTTTAAGCATGTAGGTCATGCCTGGTCTGAATCAGCTACCTGCTGCTGCTGGGAAGAGCATGCCACGGTTACAGATCAGGATATTCAAATATGACACATTAACACCCTTTTATTCTGCATAATACCACACTCCATATTCTAATGTTAGTGCTGATTGTTTGAGTGTCATTATGCTAAATGGAGGATGGAGAAATGCAGAGGGTGAAAAACCTGGAACCTAATGGCCCGAGTCCCACCACCGTTTTTATATCTGCTGTGATCAAGTGTAACTATTATCACAATAATATCTGAGTGTCCATTAAGGACTCAGCATCACTGGCTATGTTTACACGCAGGGAGTAGTGTACTGGCCATGATACTCTGGAAAACAGCTTATTAAGGATAAGCTGTTTGCATGCACCGTTCCTATCTTGTGATGGAGAATCTGTGTTGTTGTTATGAATAAACCAGAACAGAACATTCCTGTTCTTCTCTAGGGTCCTGCCAGCAATAAAACATGAAAATATGCCA